ATTACAAAAAAATGAACAAAATGAAAAATTATGATTGGTTGAATGCGGTTTGCACGGTTTGTACAAATTGGGTGGTTTGCATTTGATTGCTCCCCTATATATATATATATATATATATATATATATATATATATAGTTTGTTTCAATACAAACTGTTGCATTTGTACAACCAATACAACCAATAAATTGAGATATTTATGGAAATGATGAGAATTCATTTATTATGATTTGAATATTTATGAAAGATGAATATGGTTCATTAATTATGATCAATACTTTATATTAGGAAACAATCAAAACTTCTATGAAATCACATATTAATCAAATGAAATGGACGGTTGAGATTGAGTTGTATTGCTTGCACAAATGTCATAGGTTGTATAATAAATTATTTACTTTCTAAATAATTTTGAAATATACAAAGAAATATATATTATAAATAAATTAATATAAATGTAATTTATAATATTATATTAATAAAAACTATATAACCAAATTATCATTTAATTATAAATAAACTAAAAAATAATTTAATGCTATATTATTAAGTAAATATGACTTATGTGTTGAGTTGAAATTGATATTGATTTTTTTTTAATTAATCTGGATATTCAACCTGTTATACAAGACGATTAATCCCAGTACGACCATCTTTTTTGTGGGTAATCCGGAGTCACTGCATTTGAATCTCTATGGTCACAAGAGGATTTTTTTCTCATTAAATTCGAACCTGAGACCTACAAACATTTTTGACCTTTAGAGATCAAGCTCAAACCAATAAATCATCACCTTATGATTGAAACTGATATTGTTGTTGTTGGATTGGATTTCTATTAAAATTTAGCTCTATGTCCACTAATGTGATTTACACAATATGAATAAATTCAATTTAATTAATTTTGATTCATGAAATTCAACTATTTTTGTTTTTGTCAAGAACATATTCAATAGGTTATTAAATAATGGGAAAATCTTTAAAATAAATAATTTATTGGAACTGGATGTAACTTTTAGTTCTCCGTTTTATAGAAATTTTAGAGAATCTGTTAGAGATGCTCTAAAATTTATTTTATATTCAACCACAGGGGTAGTGCCTGATTGGTTTGAGCTTGACTCCAAGAGGTCAAAAGTACCAGGAGGTCTCAAGTTCAAATCCAAGAAGGAATAAAAATTTCCTTATGGCCACGGAGGTTCAAATGCGGTGACTCCGGACTATCTGCAAAGCAGGTGGTTGCCCTGTGATTAGTCGGCTCGCATAGCAGATTGAATATCTAGGTTAATAAAAACATATTTTATATTCTCTTACTGACTACTAAAATCAATTAATTTTAACATAACTTAAAGAGTGAACTATGGATTTGCTCTTTGTGTTTTGGTTTTTTTCTGACCAGGGTCTTTATGGTATGTTTATTATGATTTAGTCCTTATGGTATTCAATTTTTCTTGGCCATGGTCTCTCTAACTAACGTCATTAAAATAAATTCGTTAACTTAATTAAGTTAAGAACCATTTTACTTTTTCTTTGTCTATTTTAAAAGGAGTCGAGGTTGATATGGGCACCGACGGCAGGTCGGACTGTGCCACGAAGGATGCCACAACCGGTGGTTTGAGGATCGTTTCCGAGCTCGCAAAGACCCATGATGGGCATGATGGATGAAACGAGTGATCGAAGCATGTGGTCATGGGGTGAAAATGGCACTCCATTTGTATCGAAGAACCACAGTCCATATGACATTGATGAAGCCAACTAAAAAAGCACACGAGAAAGCAACCATTGCTGCAAGCTTGGCCTCCCGGCTTCGAGCTCATTACATACCTTACCAACACACGTACCAACATTAGCAAAAAGTGATTCCGTAGAACCTTGAAACTGTATCTTCTGAATAGGAAGGATCATGCGAGAAGTTAAACAGTTTGCAAGAAAACGAGAGGTTACAATATCATATATGACTACATTCATTTAGGTGTTTTTAATCATATATGATTAAACGTCCATGTATTGTCAATGCAACATGTATTTAATTGATAAGCTTGTGTATCGTACATGAAATGACTGAAATCTTTATTTTTATATATATAAAAGAAAAACCTTGGGAGTATTAAGGTGGCACCATGAGAATTGAGTATTCTCAAATGATAAATTGTGGTTGAGTTTTAGTTGTCCCACATTGGTGAATAGTTAAAAGATTTGAACAAAGGGAAGTGTATAAAAAAGGTGGATTGGATGCCTTTGTGTCAAATCATGGGCTTTGCATCATAGGGTTGTCTTATTTTGGATGACCTTCTTTTACATTTATAACCATAGTTAGAATCAAAACTTACCAAATGGTAAAAATTATAGTGCAAATATAAAAGTGAAACCAAGGATGACAAATGTAGTTTACGTATCTATTATATCACTCATATATACATAGAATGAAAGTGTTGACTTAATAGCATGCTTTCACTTAGCATTCTCCAAATCTATAATTTATGCTGTTAGAGGGCGTTATAAATATAAATACAATCCAGAGTTTTCAGACACATCGCAGTTTCGCTCCAGTCGAGGCTTTTACGTTTTTTTTCTTAAATTGAGTTCTGATCACCGTGCAACGCACGGTGTCGAACACTAGTCATATGTAACATTAAAACTTCTCACCTTCTCATAAAACGTTTAATTTCTTGTTTAACCTGTCCTCGAATGATTGAATAAAAGCCAATTACTTTTGATCATTTCTGCGATCCAAAAAGCCAAGTTAATGCTGCTTTCAAAACGTTTTTTTGGATAGTTGTCTTGAAAAGAAAAACTATATATACAAAGCGTACAAACCTCATTCAACCAATCATAATTTTTTATTTTGTTTATTTTTTTTATAATTATGAAAAGTTGATTAATCATTTTTATTGTGGAGGGTGTTAATCATGGATATTATCATCTTCATTATTTTAATTTTAGAAAAATACATGAAACAGTTTCATTAAAATTTCTAAATATTATATGAAACAATTTCATAACCATATATGAAACAACTTCCTCAAAAAAAATAATATATGAAACAATTTCTCAAAATTAAACAATTTAATGAAAAAATTTCATAAGATTAAACAATGAAATCGACGGATGAGGGTGGTTTGCACGGTTTGTACAAATTGGGTGGTTTGTATTTGATCGCTCATATATATATATATATATATATAGGGTTGGGTTCACGTGAGACCAAATGTTTTTCGTGAGACCCATAAGAGCAATTTATGTTCATTGATCAACTTTATAAGCTAATGATCTAACGGTCTAAAGTTGCACGGTGACAATTTTGTAATTATTGAGAAATCTCGTGGAGTTTATGAATGTTGAGATCTGACGATTGTAGATCTAATCCAAGGGTTGAGAATTGGTCTTACGGGTCTCACGAAAAACTCTTGGTCTCACATGATCCCAAGTCTATATATATATGTATATATATATATATATATAGGTGAGTTATTATGCAACTCTTTACATTTATACAACCAATACAACTCAATCTCAATCGTTCATTTAATTTGATGAATATGTGATTTCATAAAAGTTTAAATTGTTTCATAATACAAAGTACTGATCATAATCAATGAACCCTAGTCATCTGACATAAATATTCAAATAATAATAAATGAACTCTTATTATTTACATAAATATCTCAATTGATTGGATTGTATTAGTTATATAAATATGATTGCTTTTGAAATCTCCTCTATATATATATATATATATATATATATATTTAATTTTATATTTGAAATATTGTTTTAATATCAAATCTGGAATTTTGTATCATCTATAAATTTAGCCAATAAATTTAAAAAATAATAATAATTATAATTTTCAATCATGACCTCAAAAAACTATATCAAATAATTAAATTAATAAAAATAATTGCTATATTTATTGCGAGTCTATTTATATGTGTATTTAGTCAAAAGTTTGACTCTATTTTCCATCCCCGCATTTTTTAGACTCTTCCAAAAATCCTAAGTGGCTGCGCGCACCCCATCTTTCCCCCTCTTTTTCTCCATCTCTATCTACCTTTGCAACTGAAAAAAGCCAAACGATCTCTCAATTTTCCCTCGAAATCTTAAATTCAGGTCAGATTCTGTAATCTTCATATAGATTTTGTATCTATGTATATTGTATTTGTATTTGTGCGTGTTTGTTCGCAGTTGTAACATGTGATCATACTGTGTCTGCATCTGATGTGTTTAGATCTGTTGTTTATGCGAAATTAGAGCTGTTATTGATGTTTTGATCAACTCGTATGTGTTTTGTGTAAGATAATTTTATGTGCTTTAGGTCTGTTGAAAATTCGTTAGCTCAGTTGATGATTTTCTCTTTATTTTTGAAGCGAATTGTGTTGATGATTATTCATGTACGTACGTACGTATGTATGTTTTGGTTGTTGATTTGATGTTGTTTGTGAAGTTAGGGGTTTGAGAGGAGTTCGGAAATCGGAAATGACGAGTCGGTTGAAAGAGGACGAGAAAAACGAGAGAAGTATAAGAAATCTTCTTAAACTTCCTCAGAATCGAAGGTGTATCAACTGCAACAGTTTGGTAATGTCTCCGCTTGCTTCATAGCGCTGTTTAATGAGTTTTGTACTGTATGGTCGTTTCTACTTTCTAGTGATCTGCTTTGTTGTTAATTTCCTTGCAATTGCCTTTTATGATGTTTGTTGTTACTATTAATAGTTTATTCTACTAATCTTCTCACTCAGTTACTTAATTAGACTTCAGTTGGCAAAATTGGCAACGATAAGTTGGTACATGGTACTATGAGTGATAAACTTGAGAATGTTTTTGTGGTTTCACTGTACATGGAACTCCCTTTTTGGAACATCTTTTAAGGGACTCTAGTTGCTGGACAGGGATGAATAACTTATTTATCTCTTAGCATTTGATTGCTTTGGAATTATCAACAATAATTGAACCTTTGGTTATATATTGTTTGAAGTTTATGGTTTCTGTTGTTATGTGCTTTGTTAATCTTTTAGTTTGTTCATTCTATCTTCTCTTGCTTTGCCATATGTATTCTAAACGCTCTTGTACATTAGTTTCCTTCTATATCATGTCTTACAACAGTTTCTGAGTTCTGAACGCGGGGGGGTATTGTATAATTGGCTTAATTTGTACAATAGAGAATCATTCCTCTTGATTGAACAGTGCATCTGATTGCTTAAACAGCTTGCATATCATAAAAAAAATTACATGAATCCTTCTGCATGCTTCTGTTTTGGCCAACTTGCTGCATTCTGTGACCAGCATCGTTTTCTACCTCTTTTTGGCAATCGATTAACTGAACTAGATAACTGGTCTTTCTGAGATAATTGCATATCAATAAATTTGAGAGCTACCATTGTAATACCCATTCGATTTGTGAGAATCAAAGTCTCCTGCAGTTGTAACAGGCAGTGACTTGTTTGAATCAATGCTTGAATGGAAATTACACTAGCATTTGTGAGTGTCCTTCTTTGACCTGATTCTCATCTTAACTTTAGCTTAAAGCATTTAAAGTAAATGCTTCAAATCCTGATTAAGGCATGTCTCTTTGTCTTCTGCTCCTAACAAGAGAGGAAAGAATAAATCTTGGATTGGACTAATTACACAGTAATCTTTCTCGCTTTTTATTGCATCAACATGTAAATGAATGTTATGCTTAGCTTTTCTGGTTTTGCCATTTTGGTATTAAATTTGTTAAATGTAACCTGAAATCTTCATGCTGATAGAGCAATTATTTTTTGCATGTCTGCTAAGCATAGTATGTATCTCTATGAAGTCCGATTACTTATTGGTTTCTCTATAGAAAATACAAATTAGGCAGAAATATTGATACCGATGTTACTATTTTATCTCATGTTATTTACTGAACAGGGACCTCAATATGTATGCACAAACTTCTGGACATTTGTTTGCACTACTTGCAGTGGAATACAGTAAGTGCTTACATGCTCTTGTAGAAAATAATGTGCATTTAGATGCCGGATGAATTGTTGTGTGATTTGTGCCTGTATATTTATCTATTCATGTGCACTTTTCTGCAGCCGTGAGTTCACTCATAGGGTAAAATCAGTTTCAATGGCCAAATTTACTTCACAGGAAGTTAGTGCCCTTCAAGGAGGGGGTAATGCGGTAATATATTCTTGCATGAATCTACATAGAAAATTAATCTTTTACGGCTTGATGCTATATAATCCATGCAAGTCTTCCAAATTTGATTCCTTTTACTTGCTATATCAGAGTGCCAGGGAAATTTACTTTAAAGAATGGGATGCTGCTCGTCAATCTTTCCCAGACAGTAGGTTTGTAATTATTTGCTGTAATGCCATATATAATACTTTCTGACAGAAGCAGCGATTCTGAGTTTTAGCCATGCCGACAGTAATGTTGAGAGGCTCCGGGACTTCATTAAGCTTGTCTATGTCAATAGAAGATATACTGGAGAGAAGAGCTTTGACAAGCCTCCGAGAGTGAAAACGGTATGGGTCATTAGTATGCCCTTTAAAACCATGAAGCATGTTTAAAGTTGGCTTGCCCATAATCCTTCTATGAATGATGTGAAAATTGATGATATCCTGCAATGATATTGGTTTTTGTAGTTAAGAGCATTATGCTTCTTCTGAACTTGTATTGTTTCCCGTATCTGGATTTATTTGCTTATCAAACAGGGGGAAGCAGAAGATTCTTATCAAGGAGGCTCTAGAAGCCCGCCTTTTGAGAATGAGCGTCGTTACAGTGAGAGGTCTACTCCTGGTGGAAAAAGTGGTGACAGAAGTTTCAAAGATAGCTACAACGAAAGGCGAAGTCCAGGATACGATCAAGATTTCAGTAGAAGCCCTCCGGCTGCATGTACAGAGACTATCAATGACTGGCGGCGAGAAGATATATTCAGGGATGGAAGGAGAGCTGAAGATGGGAAATTCCCTGATGGTGGAGGTTCCAAGGTTGAAGGTAAATCCCCTGACCATCAAAGAGATCCAGACATGTCTAGCCCCCCTATAGTAAGACCTGTTAGGGATATGGGAGAGAAAGTGTCTCCGCTTCGGGTTATTGAACCTCCAAAAGTCGATGGACCGAAGCCATCAGATGGCTCCTCGCGTACGCAGGTGAGGTTTTTCCTCCTTAAAGTTATACGTTGCCTTTGTCTAATTTTACGCTCAGTTTACACACTTGGGTTACCAGTAGCTCAATTTGCTTGTAAGGCATTTAGACTCGCATATATACAAATGTCATCTGGTTAAGGCATAAAAAGCTGTTAACAAGTCATGTGAATACATCCCTCACCACTATGTTCTTTTCATATGCAAATACTTGTGAAACAAGTGCAGGACCAGTTGTTCTTGCGAAATATGGAAATGTTATGTTGCAAAACAGTTTATTTCTATTTGGTTGTTATAGGGGTACAAAGGGTTTACGAAATACATTCCCTGACCACCATGTTCACGTTATTTGTAACCACTTGTGAAACAAATGGAGAAGCCATTGTTCTTGGAAATGTGGAAAGCTTTCTTATCCAGCCAATTGCATTTACATTCATTCTAACGTGTTTAGCTATAAACTTAATTTCAGAATGTATTTTATTGTTTATGGCACACCTTGTCTTTCCATGTTCCCAAATATTCCCTCTGTCCCAAAACACATATCCATATTTCTGTTTTTGTTTGTCCCAAAGTAAATGTCCACTTTCAAAAGTAAGCGCCTACTTTCAATTCTGCCCTTAACCATGAGATGGATAAATTCATCACTCCCCTATTAATAAGGGTACAAAAGTTATTTAGTGTAGCAATTACACGTTTCTAAAACTCTCAGCTTTTTTCATTTTGGACATTTGCGTTGGGACGGAGGAAGTAACTTAAAGCGCCCAAACTAAAATTGTTTTTGATTGCAGAGAACTGTATCTTCTAGTGGCTTGGCATCTTCTAATGGGAATCCAGCTGAACTTAGAACAGAAAGTTCATTAATTGATTTTGATGCTGTTCCTGAACCCACTTCAACTGTTCCAGTGCCACAAATACAACAGAGTGCTTCTTCTCCAGCCCTATTTGCCCCTCAGCCAACAACATCATCAAATAACAATTGGGCTAATTTTGATTCAGTTCAAGAGGTGAAAGCACCTCATGCTCCTACAAACACCAACTTGCTAGATGTACTTTCTGAATTATCAGTTCCATCATCATTACCTGGGGGAGTTGGTGCTTCACTGGCCACACCTGGGGGATCATCATTCCCATCCAATGCTACTCCACAAGCTGCACCACCAGGGCATGTACAATGGTCATCTTTTGGCACAAGTGCTCCTGTTGCTGCACCAATAAGCCACTCGACAGTTGCTCCTGGAGGCGCTCAAGCAGCAACTCCTGGGCCTAATGCCTTTTTCAATACTGCTGATGGTGGATGGTGGCAAAATGTGCATCCTCAGCAAAATCGTCTCCCTGTCACTGGTAATCAGGCTCCTGTCCAGTCATTTAATCAGGCTGTTGGTGGATCTCAAAACAACCAGGTGCAGCCTTCTTGAGATTGCTCAACTCTTGTGCCCAATTACTTATATTACGACTTAATGGCAGGTCTTTACCATTTTGTCTTTCATTCAACTTTTTGCAGCCATGGAATCCTTCACTTAGTGGGAATTCTCAAGGTGCACAGTCTCAAGTTACTCATGGGGTTGATGTTAAACCGACTACTAAAAAAGAACTACCGGTGGTAATGGTTTTTATCTTATGGGATACATCTTTCATCTAATTTCAGTATTCTTGCTTCACATATAGTTTTCTTTCAAGCTTATTAGAAAATATCATATTGTTTGTGCAGGATTTATTTACTTCCAATTATTCATCCTTTGCTGCTCCGAATCCGGGCTGGTTCCCTGCCCCCCAATATGGCATGGGATTCAACATGCACTATAATGTTCCAGCGGTATGATAAAACCTGTCATAAAATAGTTCAACCTATAGGGACAACGCCAAGCGGAGGAGTCGGTTTTTCAACCCCCCTGGTTCTATTTTACATTCATTCTTACATTTAAGTTGCTGCTGATTTGATTATCTACTGTTATTGCTACAGCCCATGCCACCAGCTTTCTTGCAGCCATCAAGTCCTTCAATTCCATTTGATGTCAATGAATCATCTCCAGCTCAAGCTACAACAGTATGCCCACTTAATTAACTGTTTCTTTTTTTTTCTTACTGCTTACCCGGGTGAGGATTTATAATAAAAGATGTGTGCTAGAACATATATGCATGTGTGTATAGTATATACTTATATATATATATATAGAGAGAGAGAGAGAGAGATATTGGTGATTAACTTACTTCCTTGTGCTGTAGTTTCCGTCGATGGCACCTTTGCAAGGGGCTCTACCTCCATCAGTAGGCATATACCGTACATCGAGCCTTGGTACTCATCCGCCAGCATGGATGCCAACCCAATCATTCCCATTAAGCATACAGCGTACTTCAAGCCTTGGTACTCCTTCACAAGCATCTCATCATCAATTACCAATGCCAACCCAAGTACCTTCTTATGGATCACCAATGCCTTCTGGTAATCTCCCGTTCTCTTTTTCAAAATTTCTAATGCAAATTTAACTTCCCTTTCTTGTCTTTCTTATGTTCTTTTTGCCCCCCACACATTTTGCACAAACCCGGAGGTCTTCACGAAAACTATCACTCTAATCTTTAGGGTAGAGACAAGGTCTGCATATATCTCACCTTCCCTAGACCCCACGTTCATAGGAGTGTTATTCGGGCGGTTAAATCGGTTTTTGGTTTATTTGGTTCGGGTTAATCGGGTTTCAACTTTTTTAAAACTAACTGATAACCAAACCAAATAAGGTTTGCTTTAATCAGTTCTGGATTATTCAGTTCGGTAACCCATTAAACAGAATAAGAATTCATATTTTTTGTTGGACACTTAAAATAGTTTTCTCAAATCAATGCCCATTGCTTCTAATATATAATGGTATAGTACATCTATACTCAATAATTGACATGCATTAAGTAAAAAAACATAATTTACCAAAAATCAATATCTAATCAAAAGACATTATTTTTTTCATGGGACGAATTTTATAAAGTAAAAACCATAATATAACAAAAAACACTATCTACCATCTAGCAAAAAACATTATATAACAGTAAATATGTAAAATAATAATAGTATAACATGTGTTTGGTTTTATTTTATAAAAAGGAAATATGTAAAATATAAGTAGGAACCGAAAACCGAACCGTTTAACCTAAATCGCATTCGGTTCGGGTGGGTTATTCGGTATCGGTTATTTTCGACACCTCTACACATTCGGGTGGATATACTGGGCTTGTTTTGTTTGTGTTGGTTTTTTTAACTTTTTTGAATGTACTGAGTTTTTGACATTGTCTGATTATGTGTTAGGTCTACTAATGGGAACAGCAGCTCCCAGGTAACTTCCATGTTTCATCCATGTTCCAACAATCTGCTATCCATTTCATTTCTAATATTTGCACATTTCATTTACAGGCCACAAGTAGATGGTGGTTTTGGATTGGGTAACAACTCTTTTGGAACCTTGAATGTTGGTCAACAGCAAAGTGGTTCTAGTTTCTCACCGAACCCATTTGGTTAAATGCATCATCCTGTTGCTTGGTTCTAAGTCTCTGGTAAGTTTCTTCCCTCAAAGATAAGAGGTGAGGGGAGGGGAAGTTTTGGTGTTGTTTCGTGTGTTGGTTGCTTTGCTTCCCTCGCAATCTGTATATGTTTTTAAATTTGGTTTATATGTTAAGAGTCTACTTCTTTTACAAACCCAATAATTCGTACAAAAATCAGTTTTCATGGTGTTGTGTGAAAATGTAGTGTTTATACAAATGTTGTTTCATATGTGAAACTTTCAGGATTGTTTCCTTCACACAAAACTGTCTCGAACGTTTCATATATGAAACAACACTGTATAAACACCGTCATTTTTACACGTGTTGTTCCATATGTAAAGCAACATATAGAAACTGATTTGTAAGTTCTTTTTAATAATTTATTGGGTTTGTAAATGATTATGCATTTTTATACATATATTTAGGGAGAGTTGTATATGTATATTTATCCTTTTCTTTTGACCCACCATCTTGCAACTCTAGATTGTTCATATATGTATATGGATCTTGGCTTGATTAATGTATTGGTTTTTACCTTTTTTGACCATGAAGGGTCGATATTCCTTCAGATTATTGAGGCAAACATAGCCTTCTCAATTGTCAAAGTGGTGAGGCACTTTCCTCAAATACAGGACTTGACAACAATGACAAGTCCTGGTTTTGATCCCCGCACCCCGGGGAGGCTAGCCTCAAAGTTGCTGAGTGAGCCAAAAATGTCCCTTACATTGGTATACTTGGAGGCGGGTGTCATGAAGGGCTTGTTGGGGTTGCCGGTATCAACTTTTTGCCCATATTATTGAGGCAAACATATGAAAAACAACTATAATCAACATATACAAATTTAAATACATAATAAAAGGGAACAATGATGCGGATGCTTGGGTTCAAATCAACTGAACTTTCATTCCACAACAAAGTTGACGGGAAGTTTATCCACATGCAAAATGATTTTGGGAAGTTCAAATGATTTGTGGACTTGAATAATGCAAGCAAATCTTTCATTGAGCTCAACCAGGTTTTCCTTTCTTTTTAATGTAGGGCTTTAATTGAACCTTGAAAAGAAGTTGTTTTGTTCAGGCTTCGGTTTTTTTGTGGCGATGGAAAGTAGTTAGCTTTAGCATTATTCAACGCAAATATTTCAAGGAATTGAAATTAAGCCACAAGTTACCTTTGTGCATCTTCTTTGGGACACGGTTTGGAAAATATATGAAAGATAAGTCAGAAAATATACAAAACTGTGTGGACCTAAAACCATTTTGTAACTTGGAAAGCTTCCAACAAAGCTCTCTCACAGATCAATACATCAACTATTGGCATCCTATCCTATCTTATGCTTACTTAGCTTTCTCATTTTTTTTTCTTCCAAGATAGAACACATGGAAGAAATAAGTGAGAAGAATGAACGTCTAAGCAAAGGACGTCCGTATAGATTCCATGGATGTCATTTTTTATATTCCTTTCGGCTTCTATATCATTTGATTACGTGTAAATTTTGTAACATACATGTCGAAGAAGTTGTTTGCGTTCAATTCCAACTTGCTTGAGCAATGGAGATAGATCAGATGCCGTTCTTGAGAGTTTTGCTTATCTAGGTTCCTCCACATGTTTAGTTTTCCACACTATCGGGGCTACKAGCATCCACACTACAAAGAACAAAAGGGAAAAGTTGAGAGAATAATTGTTTTTTCAGTTACTAATGTCTAAATGTGTTGTAAAATTGAATGATTGGTTTTGTAATGTTTGACAAAACAAGTTCTAATTTTCTAATTTCTAGGGGAAAAATATTTAAGACTCGGCAGAGCAAGCAAAGAGTTTGCTTTAAGAAAACTTAGTTTTAATGAAAGCACACATCTAAACACCTTTGAAAATTTTGATTTGCCACTAAAAGGTCATTAGTCCAGCGATACTTGAGTTATTGGTAGAGCCTAACATTCCAAGAGGTAGGACCTAAACCTTATCAAAGTTCAATAATGTGCAAAAAGAACATTTGATTTGCTAGCATTGGTAATGATATAACTAATAATAAAAACTCAAAAGGTTGAATTAGCAATTGATCTACTTAGCAAGAAAATGCTAAAAAGGGGGATAATCATCTAAGAAACCACAAAGTCGTGAACTTTGAAAACCAGTGCATCATGTGTTATTTTATATGATTTTTTTAATTTAATGCTAAGATATAGAGTTTTGATTAACATATATTTGTTTCAAAATGTGTGTTTTCATTGTGAACCAATTAAATACATATGAAACAAACACAATATTAATCAAACATATGTTAATTAATATCATAGAGGCTTAATCATTTGAGAACTGCAATGTATATTTGCTTCACAATGTATGTGCTTCACAATGTATTTGCTTCATATGTATTTGCTAGATTAATATCATAGAACCTTTTCATTTGATTGCTTTCAATCTATTGCTAGGATATAAGATGGGGACCTTCTTTTGAAAACCCATGAAATTGCGATAACCTTGAGAACTAGTGCATCAAGTGCTATCTCATATGATTATTTTTCATCTAAGACTAGAAATTAGAATATAGATTAATATATATTTGTTTCACAACGTGTTTGCTTCACAATGTATTTGCTTCATATGTATGCGGTCACAATGTGAATTTTTTTTACGTGTAACTTTTGTTTCACAAACAGGCTAAAAAGGTTCATATTGTGAAACAAATACATGTGAAGCAAACATGTTGTGAAACAAATATATATTAATTTATATTCTAAGTTGTAGTCTTAGATGGAAAATAATCATATGAAATAGCACTTGATGCATTAGTTCTCAAGGTTATCACAATTTCATGGGTTCTCAAAAGAAGGCCTCATCTTATATCCTAGCAATAGATGGAAAAGTAATCAAATGAAAAAGTTCTTACAGTTCTTGCAATATATAAGGTTTTCATTTGATTATACACTAATTAAGAAAACATCAAATGCTAGACACCTTTTTTTTTTCAAAATTGCTCATTTTTCTCTTTAGTGTTTTATTTTCACAAATTTGCATTAAGAAACCATTTATTTGCAATAAAAAGCCAAAAATGATGTTCAAAGAGTAATTAGAAAAACAACAATATTTGATATGGATTAGATACTTACAGTAGACAGAGACTGCTAGCCACTCATTTACTATTCTGACCCAAGTACTTGTCCAACCAACGTCAATCGTCCACCTGAGAAGAGGGGCATTTAGGTAAAAATCAATATTTAGGAAATAATTCATTTTGATGAAAATATGTTGAATTTATGATATCTTACTTTTTCATTGTGTGATTAGGACTCCAACCAATTAATAGCATTGCAAAATACATAGCTCCAGTGGCAAAAACAAGATGGAAGAATCCAAAACCATAAGGAACATGGTCTTCATCCTGTGTCTCGTCCTTTTTAAACTGCAACCATACAATATTCGTTAGATGAATTTTGATTCTAAAAGGGTTTTACAGAACTTTGTTTAGATTACCATCTAAAAGAGCCCTTAAAAGAGAGAAAGGATGTTCCAGCGTATACATAGGAGAAATGGTCGAAAGTCTAGTTGATGTGGAACTCTAACACAACATACAATTCTTTAGATGCATTTTGATACAGAAAGGGTCTAAAGAACTCTATCAGATTACTCTCTAAAAAAGCCTTTGAGGAGACATGGAATGTTCAAACATATCCAGAGAAGAAATGGTTAAGGTCTAGCTGATTTGGGACTCTAACAGATACAAAAACCCCAAGACCACTCTCCAAAGGTTAAAAGTGCCAGGAGGTCCCAAGTTCAAATCCAAGGAGGAACAAAAGTCTCCTTGTGGCCACAGAGGTTCAAATACGGTGACTCCAGGCTATCTGCAAAGCTCGCCCTGGGATTAGTCGACTCGCATAGCGGGTTGGATATCCAAGTTAATAAAAAAAAGCGCCATTTAAGATAGAAGGGAAGTTCCAACATATATGGAGGAGAAAGCTGATATGAGACTTTAACATATACCATGTAAAGATATATGGAACAAAAAAATTCCTTCAGGAGAGAAGGAAAGTTCCAATATATATAAAAAAGAAATGACCAAAATCTAGTTGATGTGGGCTGAAACAACACAATGTTAGGATGTGGTTTTACCTGAAAGCATTTAGAATCGATGCCTGTTGAAAATGTGGCAATCACCATCGCAAGTAGTGCAACAACAAAGCTCTGTAACAATAAGATGTGCATCATTAATCATTTAAACTTCCTTAACTTTACTACATATATGTGTTGGTGAAAAACCTTTGTTTTTAAAAGCTACTTAAAATAACGTTTCAATAAGCTCCTAGTTTTTTTTCTCCAGTTATACCCCTTATATTTTCCCAATTAATGGTTCAAAATGTTCTTCTAGATCATTGTACATCGCCATTTAGCTTATAAGCTAGTTTTTACCAAACATGATTAATTTATAAGCTAGCTTTTTAGTTGATAACTAGCTTTTCAGTTAATTTGCCAAATATAGCCTAAGGGTTTGTTTGTTAGCAACTTAATGAGCTTAATGAGACTCGCAACTTATTCAGTCGGCTATAGATGACTGTTTGGTAGTGACTTAATGATATAGAAAGTGGCTTATTCAGTAAGCTTCTAGGGGGAACTTTATGCAAAAAGCCAAGTTTTTTTTCTCCAAATCTGCCCCTCCCTGTTAAAAAACACACTTCTTCCATTTATGAAAAAAACACTTCCAAACAAAAACCTTCCCAATCTTTACAAACAGATTAATCCATACAGACAGTTTTATCCAAACATGACTTAATGGAAAACCAACCAAACAGCCCTAAGCGACTTATGTTGTAAATCCATGTGGTCAATGTGTATGATTTTTAAGATTTCTTGAAAGTGTGCCAATGTACAAGAGCAGTTTTTTTTGAATTTTAACATGAATGAGAAGTCCAAAAGCTTACTATCATAGTTAGCCAGTCTCTTGAGGCTTCTGAATTCCTGAGACATTTGTCATCTGGTGGTTCACTGTAGGCACAAAGACATGGTTAAGTTTGAAGCATAACATCATCTCCAATAACTTCTTTCCTTAATTTCTTCAAACTGACGAAGTAAAAGTCAAACTCACTTAAAAAAGTTACATCCAACTCCAACAGTTTCTTCATTTTGGAGATTCCAACATTAATTATATTATTAAGGGGGTGTTTGGTTAGAGGTATTAAGCAGTAATCAATGTGAATGAAAATAAAAGAAACCGTTTGATGCTATATAATATAATAGGCTCATTCACCCACAAACCCAAATTTTCATTCCAAGTTAAAACGGAAAGAACGAATATTGACATTTTCATCCTTCAGCCTAGACCAAACAACCCCTAAATGTCAGAGAATCTTTAAATTTGAATAAATTTCCCTTTCTTTCCTATTTTCTCCATTTTGGAGGAGACGTAGGAGAAAGAAAAAAAAGCGTATCATTTCTTTCTCTATTTTGGAAGAGCCGTTGGAGATGATCTAAGAAAATGGTGTTGTAAAACAAGATACAAAAGTGAAAAAAGGGTACCTTCTAATGGCGGACCAGCAAAGGAACACAACGTACAATCCCATAAAACCTGGAGTCAAGAAGCCGGCACTTACCTGTTTTTGAAAAAAAAAAGATGATTAATTTGATAACGAGGTGATGAACAAATGTCGATGGCATTTTTGATGGTTGAACTTACTTTCGGGTGAAGAGAAACGCTAGTCATAAGTTGTAGGAGTACGAGTGTCCAAGTGATGAAAAAAATGTTAAGCAAGCACGTCGGTTGTGGCGTGTACCAAATGTACATCAAAATGATCCCCAGTATGGACACAACATATGCAGTAGTTGCAAGCAACATGAAATGGATATGGCTGTAGGAAAACACCATTATAGTTGCCATGAATACTTTAAAAAAGGGTACATATAGATGGATCTTATGGTGGTGGCATCATAGTAGATAATTAAGCATTGGTTGCAAGTAGCTGATAAACTAGCTATTGACTGAAAAGCTAGTTGTTAGTTGATAAGCTAATTGATATACTAGTCATGTTTGGTAAAAACTAGCTAAAAGGACACGTTGAAAAATTAATTGTGAAAGTTTAAGGGGCATAATTGGAAAGAAGCTCCTAGTGTTTCGACAAGCTAGCTTATTAGTAACCAAATGGGACTTTTTCAAGAAGATCAAAAAATAAGCTAACTTATGGTTGTGAAATATGAGAATTTCGCTGAAAGATATTTACCATCTCTCGGCATATTTTTCGGATAGACAACAATCATTCAGCCATGTAATGAAACTGATTATGCTGATTAGCTGAATTAGCAAAAAGACCCTGCAAAACATCATAACCACCATGGTTAAGATTTCTTCAAGCTGGTACTGACCACCATGTCTTAGCATAACATGGTAAATCAATCAACAATAAAAAGTCGACTCGGATTTGAATATTGAGTGCCAAATCAGATACTCACAACTTCAATTTAAGAACTACTTTTTCTGGTGAATAACTACAGAAAAGGTATTAGAATACAAAGCATACAAGAGGTTCAAATAAGAAGGCTAAATCATTGAAGAATATCCATTTGAGGATGCATATGTGAACTCATATGAATAACCTAAAATGTAGGTTCACATATGCATCTTCAGACATTTTTTTCGGATTTTTGTCAATGATTCACATATGAATCTTTCCTTCTTATCTTCTCATGATATTTAGCCTTCTTATTTGAACCGACCCTACAAAGCATTTAAAAAAAAATACAGATAGATGCCAAGTTAAAATTTGAAAAAAGCTAGATTTGATATCTAAAATCAAAGTGAAACCTGAATTTGGGATAGGATGGAGTATAGATATAAAGATATATGGTTAGAAGATATACATACCCTGCACCAAAATGTGCAATGTCCCCTGCCAAAGAAAAAGTATGAATCAGGACACTGATTGCTAATGAGAGCTGTATATATGTGTTATCTTTCTTAATGTTGGAATTATTCCAAAATTGGTCAAGTAATCAAGTTATTTGAGCAAAAGATTGATTGCTGGCGATCCAACCGGTTCCACATGGAACCTTGCCCCTGGACACCACATGTGAGGAAGCATTTCGCAAGCTAACTCAGCGGCCAAGGCAAGTAATCAAGTTATTAAATGAACAAATAACGATGATGAAATTAGTTGGCGGACGATACTAACCATATATCAGAATAATTTCTGTAGGAAGAAAGAAGGGCAGCACGATTAATGCGATCATGAGGGAAATCTTGGCTGACCACCAACCAGAATGCCACAATTCTTTTCGTCCATGCAACTTTGAGGTGCCGCTGGTTGAAAGAAACATTGTGAAATAGAATATCTAGTAATATCATTAAGGCTTTTTCAAAATCTTTCAAGGAGGCATGAAAGGATGAATGTCAAGAGGGGGCTAAACGAGTATAAATTGTACTAGAGCGTCGATCCCCTAGATTGGTTAACTTTGCCTCTAATACCATGTGAGAATATGTGTAACCTCGTTAAGTTATTCTCCAAAAGCGCTTTTAAGAGTCTAGCTGATATAGGACTCAAAAACTCCCCCCCAATAGAGACTGACGGGAACAGATTGTTCCAGAGTATCAAGAGGGGGCTAGATGAGTATAAATTGCACCAGAGAGTCCCTAGATTGGTAAACTTTGGTGAGATCATGTGAGAATGTGGAACCTCATTAAATTATTTTTCCAAAATGCCCTCAAGGAAAGACGGATGTTCCAACTTATATGGAGGAGAAACGGTCCAACAACATATTTAAAAATAAAGTCGATAATTCTTTTCAAAGAGAGGATACAAAACATCCCAAGCTCACTCTCAAAACTCCTTCGGTGCCTAAACAGTCTTCACCACCTTTGCAACTTTTCAATCCTGCAAACAGCATGAGGTTAGGAGATTTCATCATCTGGACATTATAACACATGGATCTCAAATTTTATTGATGGAACTTTTTTATAACCGTGCGTGTCCAGGCAGTTTGGGCACACATCGACTAATTCCATGCAAGCCCCAGAGATAATTTAAAAAAAAAAATACCCAATGGCCCTAAGGAGACTCGAATTGGCGACCTATGGAAAGAGTCCCAAGGTCTGGCCTTTATTTGCAAGTTGTTGAGCAATGGACTAAGGACTTAATAGGGTTCACAGCTTATTTGGTTAGGTGTACATGATTGTTTGGTAGTGGCTTAATAATATAGAAAGTGGCTTATTTGGCAAACTTCTAAGAAGGAGCTTTATGCATAACGCAAGTTTTTTCTAAACCTACCCCTCCCAATAAAAATACAAGCTCCTGCCATTCATGAGAAATCCCTCCCAATTAAAATACAAGATCCTGCCATTTATGAGAAAGCTCTTCCAAACAAAAACCATCTATATAGAGGCAGATTAATCCATACAAACAGCTTTATCCATAAACATGACTTAATGGAAAACCAACCAAACAGCCTCTAAATGTGTTTATGTGCAACAGCAAATGAATTAAATTTAAATATTTCCAAGAAAAACTTACTATTCATTTCTGTCAATGCACTTGGGCCATAGTCACGTACAGCCCAGGCAAGTAAGTTGGCTAATAGAAACATCACACTGTACACATATCTAGCCATCCAAGGGTTCGATCCATGGCGAAATTGGCTCAACCAAGAACCCTCCAAGAGCTTGGCGTACCGATTACTGCTAGCGTCCATTGCATCCTGCATCCCGGCTTCAAGTTTCGCTATCATCATATATTATATATAAAATTATCGAGAGAGAGCTAGTGGAGTTTATTCCACCAGCTCTCTTATCATCTGCAAACTGTAAAATTGTTAATAATTCTACAAATGCATCAATTTACTTCTATGTATATAGCTGAACAGAGTGTTGAAAAACCAACAATTGGCAAATGACTCTGAAATCGAGCTTAGGATCATGATCTTTTCAAAACAATATGCACATGGCAAGGAATTATATATGATGATATTTGGAATCAAAATGTACTTGTTACACTTTATAATTTCTGAAGCAATATTAATGTGTTACCTAGAGTCTGGACACACCATGAGGTATATTATTGTATCATTATTCAATGATACCCTTCATGTTTTCTCCTTTTTTTCATAAGGGGTTAGTAGGTCGTCGCGACAAAAAAACTTTATAGTGGAGCTTCTTGGTTGCATTTCTTAACGAATAAAAATATGAACGAAAACAAGTTTTAGAGGTATCCTAGGTTCACATCTTACTACAGATCATATAAAAACCATCTAAAAGTTAGAAACAGTAAAAACCAAATTTCATGTATTGTGAAAACCAAATCCATGACACACAACCATTCAATGAGTTTGATTTTAAGTTATGATTCACATTGTTTCACATGTCTTGGTCTTGAGTGTGTGTTTCATTATAAACATATTATCTGTTTTTTCTGTTTTCACACACAAACATTCTCTTACGAGTCATCTATGAAATAACATTGTACTAACACCGCATGTATCATTTCATTTATAAAACAACATATACAAATCAGTTTCTAAATTTTCGATGGTTTTTATATGTTTGCACTCTACTTTTATATATATTGAACTACCTAAAAGGCTATGTAACGTCTTTGTATCACATGGGTTTGTCACCATCTCATTGATGGCGGAGGCTTCATGTAGATCCATGACCATTACTTAATTTACCCATGGCTAATCTTTGAATTAATTGATCTAACATAAAGTCAGGCGTGATTTTCCACAAAATTCATAATTCCACTCCTTTTTAATCATATAACATTGGTGGATTAAATGCATTCCTATATACTGCTAAACAGGGACGGACCCAAATTTTGTTGGATACGGTGGCACCATATAAAACGGTTGCACCTTCTAGAATAAAATGGTTGCACCTTTCACGAACCTAATTTTTTTTTTTACCTTACCACGGAGGCACAATACGGTGGCACGTGCCACCTAACCATGCCTCTAGGTTCGTCTATGTTGCTAAATGCATTCTGCTTACATATTTTCTCTTCACACATATCAACATCAAAACTTATTTTTTTACACTTTTAATACATTGATTCTGACATAAAAGGGTACATACAACATTACCCATAAAATTACAACCATTTCATAATTACAATGTTTATTTATTTTGCAAATTTTAAACTACACCATAGTTAGAAAATATTCTGGATATCTTATTGATAAAAAGAAAGTTCATCAATAGATCTACTACTATTTGAATTTTGTAGTTTGTGACAGAAGGGGGATATAATTAAGAAAAAAAAGGTTACAAGAAAGACCTGAATAAGTCAACAAAACAACTTTATGGTTTCCCACTTAATCTGGAAATAGAACATGATATAGTTATCAAGAACGTTATGGGTGCTACATCTATGTCAAACTTGGGATGCCCAATACTTGCAGAGACAACTGTTACCAAAGGAGTGTGTCAGATGTATTATGAATTTCAAAGTTATTTATCAATTTCATTTTCTTTGTAAAAAAAAAAGAACTTAAATATAAGAATGCATTATGCCTCCCATACTAATTTTTTGTGAGTATTTTGTAAGCTTGGTTAAAATATTTGTCCTTTTCTATATTCTTTTTTAAATATATAATATTTATATGATTATATACAAGATGTACGTTCTTCATTTTAAGTGAGATTTAAAAATTTGACCTTTGTGAAAATTGGATTCCTTCAGTAACTCGGATACAACTGATTTGACAACTCCTGTCTGTTTTGTGGACTTATTCCATATTACTAACGAACCATAAAATTACATATTTTTTTAGTGATTATATCATATGATGAAAAAGAAGCTAGCCTAAATGTTCACTTGTTGAAGTTCTTGTTTGATAGGGTGTGAAATATTTTCCTATCTATTCAGTAATTCATGCCATGTGCCATACATTATCTGCTTAAATAGATCTAAAAATATATTATTATATTCACAACTTGAGCATATTTTTTTCTATCCTATTAAACTCATTTAGAAGTAAGCATGAGTGAAAAAAGAAGGGTTTAATGTTGATGTATATAAGTGTAGAACTGACAGTTATAAATTATTTAAAAGAAGAGGTTCATTTATAATAACTCTAATAAATAAGTCATTTACACATATTATTTGATGTATATGTAAAATATGTCCTTAAAACATTTTAAAATAAAAGTCAATCGTCTGAACGATAAGTTCCTCTAAATTCAAAAGAGTCATAATTTTTTCGGTATCATTATAAACATATATTATGATACATATTCTTATGAACATAATATCTCAACATTCACTCACTATTAATATAGTGGATGTTATATATAGTATTTCACACACAACCATTTATCACCTTGATGCTAATTCGTAAAGTGTGGTACATATTCTAGAAAATTTTATCCCCATACGTCACTCCACTAAATTGCATTACTTTTGTTTTGATATTTGTAAAGTTTCAAATCTGAAAGTAAGAGATTAATTCAGTAACTTCTAATTCAACTTGAATCATGATAGAAGTTAATGGTAAACTATAAGTTAAAGTTTAATGAAATTCATAAATCTTATATTTTATCCATGTTAGATGAGTTATCACAAACTCCCCAAACTAATTTTATGACGTTCTCGTTAGGGCTACCAAGCATCCTCCATTTCCATCGATGATGTGAGATTTACCTAAGGTATCACAAACACCCTTCTGATGGCATAGGGATTAACTCTATTACCATTTGTAATGTCTAAAAGTCCAAAATGATAAACAATAGAGTATACAATAACTTTTAATTCAACTTAAAATCATAATTGGAGTTATTAGTAGCTCAAAAAATTTATGCTTATAAAAAAAAAATTCATAAACCTTATTTTCTATCCATATAAGAAATATTATCACAACCTCTCTTCCACTTAAATGAGCTCAAAATCTCAATTTTTATATTAATGTGACAAGTTGCCACCAAATGCTTCATGATATTATTTTTTTGAAATTTTTCATGTTAAATTAATTATTTATTCATTATTATCGTTAAAAAAGATTAACTGCATCAGTTTATATTTACAAATTTGGAAGTAAATTTACAAATGACTAAATTCGGTAAAATTACGTACATCTTTATTTTTTTATCTTTTTATTCACATCATTGTAAATTATTGGTGTTTATTTCTTTGTTATTGAATGCAAATATCGAAGACAAAAATGATATAATTTTGGGGAGTGCTAATAGCACCCCCTTAGTAGAGGGTGTTGATTACTTGGAAATTGTGCTAATCACTTCTTTTCATAAACATCAACTCAATTAATTATATATTTATATTTTATTAATTTTATTTTATTTTATATATTTACATTAGAAAAATATATATTATTTTATTATTTTTATGTTACTTTATTATTTTATACTTTTGGTTTTATATATTACAGTTTA